ATGCTGGTATTGTTTTGCCGGAACTCAGCTATCTCATGAACGTTTGCTGTATCCCTGATGATGATAAGGGGAACTACTAGCTTGGAAAGAGGGGGAAGGGAAATAAGGTCTAGGTTTATTTTATTTATTAAATTTAAATGCCTCCCATCTCTCCTACAAGGTTTACAATGTTTAGCTTGATTAATTAGTTACATTAACTGATTATGCCTACAATGTTACCTAAATTAATTAAAGTACTCTGGATGTTGAACAGTACATAAACTGGAAGTAGTTTTTCTTCTTCTTTCAAAAAGCCTTCAAGTTCTCATGGTACAATTCCATCTATTTCTGTATAGAAATGTACAGAATATTTGTTATTTCTGTAATAAAGGAGAAATCCATAGTGGACTAGTAAAAAAATCTATTTCAGATTAGTTAACATTTACTAACTACCAAGCTAACTACAAGATTAGTTAACTTAGTAGTTAACAAACTTGCTTATTTTGGTCAAAACAAGCAAATAATAAAAGGCTCCCTATTTCATTAGTCCATTGTAGAGAAAAATCTGCTCATTCTATTTCACCAGGTATCACTTCCTGGGGCAGTATTAGGTTGTGTGTGAAACCCAGCAAATAGTGGTCGGCAAGTAAATATAAGGGGATGTGGCACTGGTGGGATTCAAATTTTTTTACTACCGGTTCTTTGGCCATGGCTTGGTGGCATGGCTTGGTGGGCGTGGCAGGGAAAGGATACTGTAAAATCTCCATTCCCACCCCACTCCAGGGAAAGAATACTACAAAATCCCCATTTCTTCCCGATCAGCTGGGACTTGGGAGGCAGAGAATAGATGGGGGCGGGGCCAGTCAGAGGTGGTATTTACCGGTTCTCCGAACTACTCAAAATTTCTGCTCCCAGTTCTCCAGAACTGGTCAGAACCTGCTGAATACCACCTCTAGGATGTGGCCATCACAATGTATACTAGGCAACTAGAGTAGCGGCATTTGCCAACAAACAAGTGAAACTCAGTAGGCAGACAACAGCAGACAACACAGTCATGTTTGTACCAGTAATAGTTGGAAAACGTTATTTGGATATGGAGTAAGAAAAGGATAAAGTCTGCCTTCCTGGTAAAGCCAGCGAATGATGTCACATATTTCTCTCTTCCAGAGAATGGTAGGCAGACTTTCCTTGCATTAGGACATGGGGGACATGCAAATGAGCCTTAAATATATTGACATTTTAACTGAACGCATCCTTTAATCAAGATCTGTATAATTTTTTTTCTAAAAAAATACCATGCCTGAAAAATGAATGCAGCACATCTACATAAATAAAGGAATTTGATTCTTAACACAAGTGGCCTGCACCTGCTGTTTCATACATATGCTAGCAACTTCCTTGGGACAGCTTGACACATGGCAGTGACCTTGCTTTAGCTCTGGTAAATGATGCAGGAGTTTCCTCAATGTCTACAAATGTCCCAAGTTGACGTTAAACAGCTGCCTGAACTTGACATTGCCAATTCCACAGTTTAAGAGGAAACTAACGCAAAGATGTATTTTCCCCCACCAGAGCAACACATTGAACATGTTGCAGCAACTGCTACTGATCTCAGAGAATAACCACCTTTAAATAATTCAGTTCTCTCGTCTTCATTTTCTGGAGTTCTCATCCTGCACATTTGCCTATAAAGCTTCTCAGATGTAATTAATACGTACTGTATAATTGAGTCAATTCTGTGTGAAAGTACTTAAGGTCTAGACTATCAATAAAATAATTACTGGTCTCAAAGATGTCTCAGTACAATTTAGACTTCGTATCTAATTAAGACAGCTGCTCCTTTAAACTTAGCAAATTAAATGTCTTGCCAACTCACAATATACATGTAATATTCTGCATGATGGCGCCTTCAACACACTTCAGATCCTTTCATGGATAAAATCAGATTAACAATTAAGAATTCTAATCTGTGATTAATTAATCTTTATCAGTTTGAAACCTTCATGGTTTCATCCCTATTTGTAAGAATCACCACCCTTAATCATTTCTTGCATTCTGTTACAAAAGAGCAGCAACTGCTTAATTAACACACTTAAAAGTAGATATTTTGGCGCCAGACGTACTGATATAATACACCTGATAGCTGTAAGCTATGAAGGATGTGTGCTGATCCAGATGATGATCCAAGCTAACCTAATAATAGATTGGATGTGTTCACACGACATACTAAATCACACACTAGCCAGCCACAGGCGGTATTTAATTTATGGTTCAGTGAATCATGCAAAAACCCAAGCAACTGGCCCAGATAATTCTGAAGACCATGTGCGAACATGATCAGCAAGTGATTAGCAGTGTTAACACAAGTTATTGATAAACTGATTAGAAGGAAGCTATGAAACACCAGTTTCACCTTTGCTAACTGCAAAGTACAGGTGGTCCTCAACTTATGACCACAATTGAGCCCAAAATTCCTGTTAAGTGAATTTTTCCCATTTGATGAACTTTCGTGCCACAGTTGTTAAGTGAATCACTGCAGTTGATAAGCTGGTAACACGGTGGTTAAGTGAATCTGGCTTCCCCATTGATTCTGCTTGTCGAAAGGCTACAAAAGATGATCACATGACCTTGAGAAACAGCAAGAGTCATAAGTATGAACCAGTTGCCAAGCATCTGAATTTTGATCACATGATCGCAGGGGATGCTACAAAGGTTGTAACTGAAAAATGGTCACAAATCACTTTTTCAGTGGCGTTGTAACTTTGAATGGTCACTAAATGAACTGTTGTAAGTTGAGGACTATCTGTAGATTGCAATTCCCTCCTACCATTTAATTTTTTAAAAAATCAATTCTGTTCAATAGTAAAGGATCAAAATATATTCAGGTGCTATGTTTACACCTATGAAGTTCCGAACAGTGCAGACAATTGTACACCTAGGATAATGTATGAAAGTGAAAGTTGGACTCTGAAGAAGTAGGATAAGAACAGTATTGACACTTTTGAACTTGGTGCCGAGAAGACTCTTGAAAATGTCACGGGCAGCCAAGGAAGCAAACTGATGGATCATCAAACACATTTACACAGAATTCTCACTTGAGGAATGAATAACTTTGGACCTATTGTGCAAAGACCTAGCTCTTTGGAGAAGGCTTTAATAGCTGGGAAAGGTGGAAGCAAAGAGAAAAATTAGCAGCAAGGTGGATAGGCTTAGTTACAGTGATGATGAAGGCACCATTGGAAAACCTGACGGACCAGATTAGGATCTTCATGGAGAAAAATCTATTTACCGTATTTTTCGGACTATAAGATGCACCAGAGTATAAGACGCACCAATATTTTGAAGAGGAAAACAAGAAAAAAGTTTTTGTCCTCCCCGGCCCCCAGGAGCACTCTGCGGGCCTCCCAAACCTTCTGCACATCCCATTTTTGTGAAAAACAGGCCTGTTTTTGGCAAAAATGGGACGTGTAGGGCGGGGTTTTGGAAGGCCAAAAATGGCTGTATTCGGTGTAAAAGATGCACCAACATTTCTACCCTCTTTTAGGGGGATAAAAAGTATGACTTATACTCCAAAAAGTACGGTATGTGGTCACTAAGAATCAGCAATGACTAGATGACACATAATTAGTCAGTCAATCAAAACATCAAGTCTGCTGTCCTGAGATTTCTTGGCAGTCTCTCATCCAAGTCCAACCCTCCCTAATTTTTTTGAGATTTGCTCAAGTCAGACTGATCAGTGCTGCCATCTGCTATGACAGTAATTTTGCTATAGAATAGGAGTGCTCGATCTTATTTCTATCAAGGACTTCATTTCTCCAGGAATAACCATATAATGATATCCCAGGCTAAAACAAACAGTGAGCAAACCGACTCATTCCTTCCTTTTATGGCATGGTTCTTTTTAGCATCATCTTTTTCTGAAAACTTCCTGACTTGCAAAAAGATTTTTTGATATTAGACTGAACTTTTCAACTGAGAAAGTTTCTGCCTCTTCCACCCAATCATGCACAATAGAAAACAATGCATTTTGCACAATAGCAAAAAATTATCTTACAACAGCTCATTTCAGAATATAACCATACATGCATCTAATTTTGCCAAAACGGTAAGCAACAACAAGCCATTTTCCCTTTACAGGAAATCAAGCCATTGATGAAACATTAATCTGACTAAAATCCAACCTTTTAGGTATTTGTAACCTGCATCTGAATAAAGCACTCGTCTTCCTCTCCTCCCCCTCCTGATTTTAAATCTGACATCATTTTAGCCATTCTATGGCACCTGATCAAAGCTTTTGCCTACATACTCCTCCTGATTTTGGAATACCATAGACAAACAGTGTTCTCCTCCTACAAAGTCTCTTAAGTGAGCTGCTGCTAATTAAGCTCCCCAGCACCACTTTCAACTCAAAGGACAACAATGTCCTTTTTATTTAATTGCTCTGGCAAGAACTGCACACTGAAGGGACTTGGATTTTGCTGATAGGAAGAAAACCGACTGAAGCTGCATCTGATTTGCACATGGTAGGTAAAGAGCTGAAGCCACCAAGCTCAAAATCTTTCAGCAGTCACAATACAGCTGTCAGGACAGGAGCGTGATGGGTGAGCCCCCTTGGAGCAGCTGCAAAAGGAAACACTGCACATTGATCTACAAGGCTGACAAACTTTTTGCTAAGCATACATTAGGGATATTCATGGATAGGGTCATTAGGAGTTTTACAGGGAGGTTGTGGGGGTGGGTTGTTGTGAAAAGAACTTCTCTAGATGGAGGTTACTAGCTTGCTACAAAATATTGAGAACTTTTACCTTATCATAGATTAGCTAATATAAGCATCCAGACTTTGGTACTTTGGAAAAGAATAGCTCAATTTTCATTTGCCCACAAAAGCAATATACCCCTTTGCTAGTTAACGCTCTGAATTTATGTTGGTTGGTTGCACTTGCTCTGCTTTGTGATCAGCAAATGCAGGAAAAGCTAAACCTCACCCACACTGTTAATAATGAAAAAGGAAATGTAATTACCTAGAGTAGTCTCCTTTTGCTTCCTATAAGGGGAGAAAAGCCATGATGTTAGAAAACTTTTTTTTTAGTTTTGTAATGGCTGTTTGCATTTCATTTAGATATCACATCATTAAGAATGCATTTTAAAATTCAAGTCATAGTTTTGAACAAATGTGGAAATTAAAAGTACATCAGTGGTTTGAATTTTTTTTTTAAATATAGGATTTGTTATTTAGAACAACCAGCTCCGCCCCTCCCCTACCCCATGTGTTTAAGGCAAAAACTAAAATTACACAGCTCAATTTCTGCTAATCTGGATCCATTTCAAACACATTTTTTTAAAAAAAATAAAAGTTTCATTCTGTTATTAGAATGTATTAATACATGGAAAAGTATCACTGTCTGATCGATTATGTACTGGAATTTTGGAAAATGAAAACCACAATAAAAATTTTGATTGAAAAAAAAATGTATTAATAACAAACAGAAGCCTCCTCTTAAGAAAAATAACATTTATGTAGTTGATTTTGCCTGGGCATCTCTGTATATACACACATATACAGAGATGCCCAGGCAAAATAAATATGATAAACTGAAGCAGAATTGATTAGACATTTAAAAGTCTTCGTAGTGATTTTCAATGTAATTATAGCCCCTTTTTTCTCTACTTCAAAATCTTTCTCCTGTGCCCAACATATAGTTTAAATATATTCATTATCCCAGACAGATGAAAGTATAGCTTATTCAAAGCAGGCTGCCCGCACTCCAAATAAGTTTCCTTCGTGCATTTCTTCTCCTGCTATATTCTAAATGTCCCGACAGATTTGCAAAACGTGAAGAACAAACAGTTATTCCGTTTTTAACTGGGTCAGCTGGGTGAAGGAGTATAGCTTTAGGTTTTATAACAAAAATATAAACAATGCTGCAGAAACGGCAGTCTGGGAACTGAAGGCATGGCAGGTTAAAAGAAAACCACAAAATTGAGTTCAGGAAAATCTTACCTGTAAAATCAAAGCGGCTAATCTAAAGACTGTCTCGCTTTCCACTTCAATATGCCCCTGTTTAAATAAAGAGGGAAGTATCAAGTTAACACGGCTTAACTCCGGAGGGGAGGGAAATCTCCCCTCGCCTCAGGCTACACGGAATCTCCTAGTAGTCTGACACTACTCAGCAACGCCGGTTTTCCTTCTATTTCCAGGTCGTACCATTACAGCAGAAAGGGGGTAGATGTAATTTGAGCCATAAAGTTTGGGTAATTGCTTATTGTTTAATGTGGAAAACAGGGGGAATCATCCTGTAAAAAAGAAGAATTGGGAGGCAGAAGGAAAACCGTCAACCAGATCGCTTTGATGAATCATGACTTGCAAATGTTGCATATTTTGACCCTCCGGGTTTCCCAGGGTTCAATGGCTGCAATGACTAGATGCTTTGCTAATACACTTCAGTTTGTGGAGTTTGTGCTCAAGAGTTATGCAAAGACACACGCTCACAATAATCCTATGCATATACACTAGGACTAGGAAATATGTCCCATTAGGCTGATGAAGTACAGTAAGAAAGAAGCATAATTCTTCTTGGGTGGCGAGATTGGTAATTTGAGCTATTTTGTTTAAATAAACGGGCATATTTAATTTCTAAATGAAAACATAGCTGATTAAATTTATACATGTCCAGCATCTTTACCCTTTGGGTTAAACAACATTATGCAAAAAGCAGAAAAGGAGTATGAAATAAACCAAAGCGATAAGAAAAAGAAATAGATCAGTTTATGCCAACAGCAGTTACCCTAGTCTTTCTATTTTGAAAACTGCAGGTCCTCCTCCCATTATCAAATGCCAATTTAGTGACTATTGGAAGTTAATGGCGGACATTTGTGTGCTTTGAAACCAGCAGGCTTTTAGGACTATTGCACTGTCTTGTGGTAATGTGATTGCCATTTGCGCACTTCACAATCAGCTTCAAGCAAGCAGAAACAATGGAAAAGTTGGCAGTAAAATTGCAAGTCGTGATGATGTGATATCTCGCTTAATGACTGGATGATTCACTTAAGAACAGAAGCTGAAATGAGGTTTGTATATCTGGCTCATTCAATCTTATTTTTTAGTTAATGCCCAGGGCACTTCTCAGTGGAGTTGCCAGTTTCAATTGTGGTCAGTAAGTGAGGACTGATGACCTATATCTGTACTTCCAATGCATCCATTGGACATGCCATTTTGTTCTATAAACATCTTGTCTCTGTTTCTTTTTGAATGCCAGTGCACCACAACTTCCTCAGCCTTTCCCTTTCTCTCAATCCATTCACTCTTCCTTCATATATTTGTGTTAATCTCACTAGGCACATCAGGCCAACAAACCAGCTCTACAGGAAGGCTAAAACTACATATATTATTGGGTATAATTCAAAATTTTGCCAGTCTGATTGTGTTGTATCTCTTCCCCATCTTACAATTATGGAGGTGAATGAGTCATGGTATCTAGCCATTTTGAACTGAAAACTTGTTTTACCATTTGTTACCTTGGCAACAGTGTGTGTGTGTACCTTACTCAGTGTGTACTTCTCCATCAATGTCATCTTCCTTATCTTTACAGTTTGTTTTGCAAGTTGATCTTTAATCATATACTGTACATGTTGTATTTGACAACCAACCTTTAATTGCATATTTCTGGTAAACATTCCATAATTCAAACCTACTCACGTATCATATGCTTGCTATAAATCAAGAAGCATACAATAAACTTTAGATCTCACATGTAGTCGTTCATATCTTAGGGATCTGTTAAATGGCAAAAATGTGGTATTTACACCCTCCCTGGCATAAAGTTACATTGCCCTTCATCAACTTTGCTTATTGTCACCTGTTGTACCTCTTAGATATGAATTCTACCCAATGCAAACTTAACCAATCCTTTTGATGTTGGGTTTTTTTGCATTAATTCCTACTATATTTGCTTTTATGTAGGGGAAAAATAATGGAATTCTTCTTATTGGAAGGTGGCAGCTGTGGTTAGGGGGCATTTTGACAGATTCATCTACTGTGCCAATTAGGCCCTGTCCTGGACTGGGAGGCCTTGCTCACAGTATCCAAACCTCCTGTTTGGATTACTGCAATACACTCTACATGGGCTACACTTAACTACGGGGAAACTTCAACAGGGTGCAGAGTGATGGATGCCCCCAGGCTTGCAAATGTAACACCTCTGTCTTGTGAGTTGCACTGGCTTCCAGTTTCTGGGTGCAATTCAAGGTGCTGGTCATCACTTTTAAGCCCTATAGGGCCCAGGACTAGGCTGTCCATGAGATCACCTTTCCCTATGGACATCTACTCATCCTATCAGTTCAGAAGGTTGGGCATGCTCCTCATCTTTTACCTTAAATTTATTTAGCATATGGCATATCATACATAAACCAGCAATATATATTAACATTTCATCTAGGTTAGTAGAACACAATAAAATATAAATGTCTATGGAGATTCTCAGTCATCCAGGTCATAGTTGTCCCAAAGGTGCTTTTTTCAAGAGGCAACTGGATTTTCTTGTTTTTCTTTGAAGACATTTTGCTTCTCATCCAAGAAGCTTCTTCAGCTCTGACTGGATTCCAGTGGGGTTACAAGAAACAAGAAAGCCCAGTTGCCTCTTGAAAAAGCACCTTTGGAACAATAAAATATAAATGTTAAAAAGATCTATGTTCAAATACCAATGACTAGGTCATCTAACCATTGAAATGCAGCATCACTTATATTAAAAAAATCAGATAGTGGACCAGTATATGCCCTCAGTTTACAGCTGGTTACGATATGATCTACAGTTTGATGTGGGACCATGAAGTCATATGAGGAGAGTATACTATGCCTTATTTATACAGAGAGTCCTGGCAGATGCCATATGAGGTGCGCATCCTATTCAAGATTGTCCACTGCTGACTTGGTAGTTCAAAGCCTGGCACCATTTTTGCGTGATCATTTATATGTTTTCCTATGACTGGGAGTTCAGTGACCCATTTGGCTTTCCATTGGGAATCAGTGTTAAGCTTGTTATCTTAAATATTGCCATCTTATGGGCTCAGTGGCTCAGTGGTTAAAGATGCTGAACTTGTCAGCTGGAAAGCTGACATACCGGGTTTGAGACCAGAGCGCCTCATGATGGAGTGAACTTTTTAGGAGCTGGGATATTACTTGTCCCAGCTCCTGCCCATCTAACAGTTTGAAAGCATGCAGATGCAAGTAGATAAATAGGTACCATTTTGGTGGGAAGGTAACAGCATTCCATGCCCCTTGGCGTATACTCATGCTGGCCACATTACCATGGATATGCCTCCGGGCAACAATGGCTATTTCAGCTAAGAAATGGAGATGAGTGTACACGCGCCCATGTGCGTGTGTGCGCGCGCACGCACACACACACACACACCAGAGTTGGAAACAACTGAACAGGGAAACCTTTACCTTTATCTTTATGGGAGCTAGGAAGCATGCCTTTTCTGTAGCAGTTCCTGCCTTATGGCACCCTCTGCTCCTTGAAGTTTGGCAGGCCTTTATCCTCGTAGACTTCCATAAAACACTGAAGACATGCCTTTGCCCCCAAATGCTGACATGAGGAGGTGCCTGCATGTTGGAAGCTTCACTTGGTGCCAGGTTTTGGTATTTAATGGGTCTGGTTTTTATAGCATTAATATTTATTTATTTATTTATTTATCAAACAAACAAACAAACAAACAAACAAATAAATAAATATAGCTTTTATGTGCTTTAATTTTTGATTGGAAGCTGCCCAGAGTTTGTTATAAGATGGGAGGTTATATAAATATTTTTAAATAGATACATAGAACTGTCAGGCACAATTTCAGTTTTCAAATACACTTTAAAGAAGACACACAGTTACTCCTTAACACAAATGGCATGAATATTTTTTCAATTATTTCCTCTACATTTGTAGACAGATTTTGTTTTCAATGTTTTCACAGCATTTATATCTTCTTAAAATTTGTTTTGGATATTAATGTTAACAGCATTTATTTTCAGTTAAAACTAAACATAGCAGGTCTCTCCTGCATTTCCTCAGGTCAGTTTCCTTTTGAATGTCATTATTGTTATTATTGATTTGATTCACATAGCAGGAGGCTTCTTGTTTAGTCCTCTTCATCAACATCCAAAATAATGTTTTATTTTCACCAAAATGAGTCTGCAATTTCTCTGTCAGTCTGAACCTTTAACCTTGACTAGATTCTTTGCAACTTTTATTTTATTTTTATATACAGTCTTATTAATGTTCTGTGTTTTACGTTCTGTGTTTTGAGATGGCCTAGTGCAGTGATGGGGAACCTTTTCAGCACCGAGTGCCCAAATCGGAAGACCAGCTGGCAGGCGCACATGCGCGTGATGGGGCACTCAGCACTAAAAAGGTTAACCATCACTGTTCTATAACATGGATCACTCTGTTCTCAACATCTCCCACACCCACTTTTTTTTTTTTTTTGCTTTAATTTATATGCTGCCCTTCTCTGGAGACTCAGGGCATCTTACAATGCGTTAAGCAATAGCCTTCATACTTTTGTATATTTATACAAAGTCAGCTTATTGCCCCCACAATCTGGGTCCTCATTTCACCTACCTTTGAAAGGATGGAAGGCTGAGTCAACCTTGAGCCTGGTGAGATTTGAACTTGCAGTAATTGCAAGCAGCAGATGTTAATAACAGTGTTTAGTCCACTGTACTACAGGCTCTTCACTTTCTATTCAGTTTATTCTGTTGGGACATAATTTTTTCTTTGAATAGTTTTCATACATGATTTTCTCTTCCTTGAATACTTTTCACTCCGTTTTTACCAAGATTTCTCAAATCTGACCCCTGATATTTCCACAAAAATGGTCTTTTCCCCATTCAGAATTTCTCATTACCCTTTTTATCTTTCACTAATTCTCTTGGACTTTTATCATCAATTGATTGGTATGATCAGTACAGAGCTTTTTAATTTCCATTTCTGGAAATCAGAGCCATGGAAAGTGGCCTGCCAAAGATTGCTGAAGTATAAGCACCCGCAGCACTAACTACTTATAACT